GCAGGGGAAAGAACTTTGCCTGGAAGCTGCATCCATCTTTTAGATTGTCTGCGGTTAATGCCTGTGTTTGATTATGTATTTCTTCTGCTTATCGTGGAGATAAATGTCATTATTTATTATAGCCTTGAGTATTTGAATAGTTATCGAATTTAGGAAGGCTACATTTCTGCATTACAGACAAATGTAATGTGATCACTGCTGTGCATGAGTCTTTGGTTACACCTAACAAGCGAAACCAAGCCATTTTATGAGATCTATAAAGACAAAAGAATGCCATGAAGAAGATATCTATAAATCTTACTAATGTTCCCCTGTTTTCTTTGTAGAAGGCCTGCATAATGTGAATGAATGAAAAGGTTAAGTATTTTTTAGTGTCCTCAAATCCCTCGAGTCTCAACTTCACCTAATGTACAGATTTAAATCTGGACGACGCCTGCCTGTCCTTTTCATGAGAAGCCTCTTTGTTCCAGTATTTCGCAGCGGGGGTCAGAGATGTTTAGTTTCAGGTCTTCATGGGAAATCGACACCTTTTCATAGCGATGGAGAAGACACAGGAGGGCTTTCTTCGGGCCTTGGTGCCTTCCGCTGTGTGCCCAGGTCCAGTGCAAAACTATGGCGGGAGGGGATGGTGGAGGGTGTCCTGATCATCCTGTAATCCACATAATCCCCTGCTGCTGAGGGACCAGGCCTCGCCATGCGTGAGTCTAAGTGCGTGCATGTGACGTGCTGTTTACACATTCTCCCTCTTTCTCCAGCTCAAGTGGCTCTGAATAAAACTGGCAGGGACAGACACTGAAAAGGAAGTCATATCTCATCCTCCACTCTCCTTTCCACCTTCAACTCACCTGAGCACACTGCATTTTATATTTGGTTGCCTTCTTATTGGGTATTTGTGTAGCGACGATGAGCTTTTGGCTGAAAAAAGGATGGATTATTTCATCTTCTTTGCAGACACTATGCAGAAGTCTTACAGAGTAAGATTAAATATCTCGTGCTCACTCTAAAACAGCTGAATATTTCAGCATGAACTAAAAGTGACTTAGAGCGCGGAGCTACTTAGCACTCACACTTCAGCCAAAAAACGTCCCATAACAGATCTGATTCATGGAATGAACATCCCAGTGAAATCACCCCGCAGTCCTGCCTGCTAAAGCATTACAAAGACAACTAAGGATTTTTTTAGGTCGGGCTAATAATTGGAAAAACTGACTGCAGGTTTTTTTTTCTCTGTTTCATTGACCGCAGTTTGTTTAATTACCCTTTAAAAAAATGAATTTCCACCAACTAATGTTTTCTGTCAGGGTAGGAAATCTGCAGTTGTGAAATACAAGTGTGCTTCACTTTACTGGTGGCATGGCAAAAAGCACTGTGAGCACATAAAGCCCGCTGTTGTTGCAACACTGTCTCTGCACACATTATCAATCAGAGGGCTGCCAAGTTCAACACGGCCAGACTGGAGGGGAAGAGTTCAGGGAAAGGATCACGCTTCCTTTGGCCAAGCCGTTACTCTGCCGCGTCCTATGGACGACAGAGCCCAAATGGATTCTCCAGATATTTTACTGACTAGAAGCAAAGGAAAAGGGATGACAGCAAGAATATGAGAGAGCGAGAGAAACCGAGGACGACAGCGAGAAGCATATTTTCCAAGGCACAGCACCCTGCTGCTCAAACCTCGTCATCTTTTTCAGAGAATGGATGGAGTGTTCATGAAATACGCCTCTTTTTAACAGGAAAAAGTAGCATTGATAGATGGATGCTGTGTAGTCCACTGACAGCTCAGTGTAAGGTAATGTGGGAAAGACAAATACGTTCCACCAACCACCACAAAAAGGTCTGTTCCTGTTTAAGAAGTATATTCTACATGAGGATTCATGAGTTGCATTGGCTTCTGTTCAACACTTTCCCATTTAATAAACTGCAGTTAAACTCCGGTATCAGTATCCAACCCTTTGTCACATTCCCACATCACCCGGCTCTGAACACTCTCATACCTTGTCAAAATCCTAAACATATCAAAAACTTTTAAGCTACAGCTGCAGACAGGTCACGGGACCATTTCAAAATCAGAGAAATGAAATGTTCAGAGTTGGGTTTTTAAAAAAAAAAAAAGACTGCTAAGGAAAAAAAGATGCCAAAGTTCAAACCTGTTTACTCAGAATCCAAGGCCTGCACTTATTAAAATGTTATGTTTGATCATTTAAAGAAGAAGACGCTGAAGCCGAGAGAATCCAAAGACCAAAAAGTCTTAACAGGCAGAATACTGGCAATCGGACTGGCTGTCAAGACCACTTCACAGCATGTGGGTATTTCCAGGAGCATCTGGACGAACACGGCTCGCAGCTTTGCAGTAGCTTGGTGGCTCTCCAAAAAACTTTCTGGCAAATGCCATACAGAGGCCCTGACGCAGAGAATGATGTGGACTGGTCCTGGAAAAGCTGCAAGGAGCAGGATTCGGGGAGAGGAGCAGCAAGGTGCATGCTGACACTGCTATCTGTAAAGAAATCTATTTACATTCAGAAGACCGAATTCCAAAGAATTAAAATGATTTAATTTGTAGAATCTCTTAGCATAACAGCCAGAAACATGGTTTAGGTTATGCAACTCAGACCCTTTGTTAAGGTTAGAGAAGGGGTAAGAGAGAGATTTTACAGTGATGTGTGAATTGTATTGTGCCTATTTAATTTCCAATCTCTCCGAAACAAAGTCATACATAAACAAGCTGGTAGAAAGCAGGAAATTGATCTGAGAGTAGCTTCTGGCTTTTAAAAGAGAAGCCAACATGGAAGTGCTTTAAACCTGCATTTTTTTCCAGGCCACTAGAGGGTGATAGCTGTAGTTTGAAAAAGACTTCTGGTCCTATAGAAGTCTTTGGGAAAATTACCTTCTGACTTGAGTTCTGTAAACACTTTTCTGCATAATGCACTTTGTATGCAGTGTCAGACGTTTTTCATGACAGGTGTAGCTAGTCCCATCAAAGCACAGTTTGGATGATTCTCAGTGCCAAACGAGAACAGTTGATAGCTGAGCTGATGAACTTGTACAAATCCAGTTGACCAACTCTTATATTTAAGCTGCATGAAGAGTCTATTATATTCTGATACAGCGACAGATAGCTGAAGAGACACCATGGCCAAGCAATGGTTCTTGTTATGTCTCTGTAGTCCGACTGAAGGGCGCAAGTGTAGTTGGTGCAGGGTAATGTAAAATCTTTGTGTTCGTGTAAATTACCAGGCACACAGACGCCTCCTCAGAGCCTCATACTCGCATCACATGACACAAATGGACTCGAGCCTAAAGCATATCCCATCTATTAGTCTGTCCCCAGTTGCTATACACATCTATATACATCTGCACGCCACTTTAGAACCCACTTCCATCCATGGCACACCTTTCCATGTATATTGAAAGGTGGAAAGGTCCCAGAACAGAGCCATGCCACCACATGCAGAGATCTGCAGATGGAAATAACCCTTCAACAATAAGAACCTTTAGAGGGTTGGCTGTAGCTCAGGAAGAGCAGGTCACCTACTGATCGGAAGGTTGGTGGTTCGGTCCCTGGCTCCTCTAGTTTGCATGCCAAGTGTCCTTGGGCAAGATACTAACCCCAAGTTGCTCTCCAATGCATCCATCGGAGTATGCATGTGTGTGAATGTAGTTAGAAAGCACTATGAATAGAGAAGGTTCTTGTGGAATGGGTGTGATTGGGTGAATGTGGCATGTTGTATAGAGCCTTTTGAGTACTCCGAAAGAGTAGAAAAGCGCTATATAAGAATCAATCAGTCCACTTGTATACGTTATGTTATGTTCTTACTAACTGCAGTGCTAACCATGACCTAGTGTGTTGCCGTAATTTTTTCACAAATACTTTAGATTAGTAGAAGTAGCTCTGTGGTCCAAACCTATAATTGCAACTTTGTTCATCACATGAACTGAAGATGAGGTATTTCCTGGTTTGAGGTTGTGGGCCCTGCAGTACCCTTAAAAGCTGGCCCACACGTTGTGGAATCACAGCACCACAGTACTTGGTTTAGGTCAGTTAAGGATTTAAACCCAGCTGTTAAGCATTGTTTCAACACCAGAGTGTATAGACAATATTTGTATTGAAGTCCCTTAAACCTGCATTTTTTTTCTTCTAATGGCCAGCAGGGGGCGACTCCTCTGGTGCAAAAATGGGAAAAGTCGGACTACGTAGAATTCTATTAGGAGATGACCAGATCATCTCCTGCGATCTGTGATTTCAGTAAACACTTTGCTGATTATTGGTTTTTAGCTAATGCAACATGATGATTACGTAGTAAATTATGGTCAAATAGGACCATAAAGCAGGGTAGGTTTTATCATAGGGTGAAGTCTATGCTGCTTGCATTTAGACTGAGCTTGTGAATGCCATCCATTCTCTTCTGCTTATCCAATTCATTTCAATCAGCTATATTTTAGTGATAATTAGGAAAAAAATAATGGGTTATCAAGCCAAACTAAGTTATTGAACGCAGTAAAGTTATCTGCTAAACCTGAGCATGGCTTTATACCACTACTGCCCACTTCTTCTGGCCTCTAATTGTCCTACACGATAGAAAAGGTATATTTTCAAACTATTCAAACTATTCAGGTTCAAGCGAAGGTGAAAGAAATCAATTACTGGAAAAGAGAAGAACTGCAAATGCATTATAGATGCTGCTGATCTCCAAGAGAAATCTTATATCTTCTTCTTCTGTTTTTCGAACTGGCAGCTGACAAAGTCTACCACATGTGGAAAATCTTTCATAACTTTGGGACCAAACCAAACCATTTAAAATGGATTGTTATGACAAAACTGCACAGGAGTCAGAGGGAGAACTAATAATTTTATGAATAAGAAATGACTGTTGGTGGAGATGTGATGCT